CAAAACTCAAGTTGGACGCACAGACAGACAACCCTTGATAAAAGTCGCATAAAAATGTCTTTTTAAAATAAGTAAAACTTAAACCCTCTACTGTTTCCTCACTATATCCCAAGGAACCACGAAAGGACTCTATGCTATTTGGATATTCTTACAGTTAATATTATAATGTGATTATATGTGGCACTTCCATTCTTTAGAAGATGATTTTAAAGATTTTTTCCATGTGTATCCCTATGTTGTCTCCATATTGTCGGCTATGGTCTGAACAAGAAGCCCATGGGCCACATCTATCACCTGAGCACACTGAATAGGAAAAAGCAGAGATCAGTTCAGTATTGAATAGTTTAAATATATGTGTTCCCAAATTACTCAGGTGGATAATTTCAACAAACTTGAATCTACACTAACCGAGGATGCTTCCACATTTCTTTGACTAATCATGGTTTCAGAAGATTTTTCAAGATTTTGATGACCCGCTATGAATATGTCAAGGGTATATAGTGTTTGTCATGTCCGTTTTTCGTCCTTCAGTCCTTCTGTCTGTCCTTCCATCACACCTTGCCTTTAGCTCAGTTTCAAAGAAACTACTCAAGATATTTTTATCAAACTTCATATGCTGATACTTATCGATGAGAGATATTGAAGTGCATCAGTATTTTTTTTTACCTTGACGTTTTCTTTGACATTGACCTTACTTTTCTGAAATTAGTGTTTATCTCAGTTTCAAAGAAATTTTGTCAAACCTTATACATGAATACTTATACATACTGATGAGAACTATTTAACTTCATCACCATTTTTTTTTTTACCTTAACCTTTCCTTTCACCTTGACTTAACTTTTCTTACATTTGTGTTTAGCTAAGTTTCAAAGAAACTATTAAAAATATTTTTATCAAACTTCGTTTGCTGATGCATATTGATGAGAGCTATTCAAATGCATCAACATTTTTTGACCTTGACCTTTCTTTTCACCTTTACCTCACTCTCTTAGATTAGTGATTATCTCAATTTCAAAGAAACTTTCTTAAAATAGTATTAAGCTCATTTTCAAAGACACTATTCAAGATATTTTAATCAAATCTAACATGCTTATTCATATTTGTGAGAGCTTTTCAACTGCATCAACATTTTTTACCTTGCTCTTTCCTTTAACCTTGACTTCCAATTTGTGTTTAGCTAAATTTCAAAGAAAGTATTCAAGATATATCTATCAAACTTTATTTGCTTATACATATTGATGAGAGCTATTCAATGGCATCAACATTTTTGACTTTGACCTTTTCTATGACCTTGACCTAAAATTTGTGTTTAATTTGAAAGGAAGTATTCAAGATGTTTTTATCAAACAATATATCCTTATAAAGAGATGAGAGCTATTCAACTGCATAAATATTTTTAGACTTTGACGTTTCCATTCACCTTGACCTCATTTTTCTCAAATTTGTGTTTAGCTTAGTTTCAAAATACAAATCAATATATTTTTATCAAACTTCATATGTTGATACATATTGGAGATCTATTCAAATGCATCATTAATTTTCCCCTTGACCTTTCCTTTGACATCTCTTTTCTCAAATTTGTATTAGGTCAGTTTCAAAGAAACTTTTCCAGATATTTTTTTATATAAGCTTAAGCACTGATACATTTTAGTGAGAATTTTTCAACTGTGTCCATTTTTCTTTACCTTAACCTTCCCAATGACCTTTGACTTTACTATTTATTGTGTATTAAACTCAGGTTTTAAAGAAACTTTTCAAGATATTTATGTCAAACTTCATACACTAAAAGAAATTTTCATGTTGCATTACTAGTGAACCCTGGGTGGGGCATTCATGATCTATGGACATATTTCTAATTCCAATACCAGTGATCTTCTGTTGGGACCCCGCCCTACCCCAGGGAACATGATTTCAGCAAACTTGAATCTATATGACCTGAGGATGCTTCCATATAAATATGACTAATCATGGCTTTGCTTTTATTCATCAGATTTTTCCTATAAATTTCTATTCAAAATTTTGATCGTCCATTGTGATCCCACCCTACCCCTGGGAGTCATGATTTAAACAGACTTGAATCTATGATGCTGCTATATTAACTTGACTAATCAGGGCTTTGCTTTTCTTGAGAAGAAGATTTTTTCCCCTATGCATTTATATGTTAAACTTTGATCGCCCACTGTGGCTCCGAGATACCCCCGGGGGTCATCATTTGAACAAAACTGAATCTACACTATGAGGATTCCTCTACCTAAGTTTCATATTTTCTACCACAGTGGTTGTTGAGATGAAGATTTTTAAATGACGCCATTATTTTTTCATGAATTTATAATAATCTCCCTTTGGAAGAAGGCCTGACCCTTCATTTGATCAAAATTGAATCCCATTTACCCAAGGATACTTTATGGTATGTTTGATTGAAAATGGCCCAGTTCTTCTTGAGAAGAAGTCGAAAATGTGAAAAGTTTACAGACATACGGAAAGACAGATGGAAGTCCAACAAAATGTGATCAGAAAAAATTGCGTGAGCCTTTGGCTCAGGTGAGCTAAAAAGTTGAATCTTCTTAACATTAGGATTCCACAAAAAAAAATTCATTTCTGGCTTGATGGTTCTTAAGAAAAATTTGAAATGACCCCACATTATTTTCACTATATCTTAGTTAATTATAACCACACTTTCTAAAGAAAGTTAGGGTACATTATTGTTATCCTGCTCAATTCGTCCGTTAGTCCGTCTGTAACGCTTTCTTCTTCCTCAAACTCCCGTTTCATTTTAAGCACTAATCAATTAACACGAAAATGACGTTTTTGTAATACAAAAAAGGTTCCCAGAACTCCTCTTACATTTTATGTAGTGGCCTAATCATCTTTTAGAAGATGATTGATGGTATCCTGTAGATATGCACTAAGGTTTTGGAATTTTCATTTCAACTTGGGGGACAAATAGGGGTCGATAAATAACTTTTTCCCTGCATTTTTAATCTTCTTATAAGCGTAGTCATGGACATCGGTCACTAAACCTATTATACACAATGTTTCTTTTGATTCACTACTACCTTATGTAAATAAACAGTTAGGTCTCCATCACATTCGCACCAAACTTTACTCTGTCCCTTTGAAGGTTCTACATGGTTTATTTGAAAAGGTCAAGGAAAGTCCATATTTGGATTCTTCGACACCAGAATACAGGCTTGGATCTGTGATTATGAATATTGCAAATCATAGGCTTTTAAAACCGCCACGTTTTACGAAAGATAACATAGCTCAAACAACCCGTTTGTTCCTCAAACTTCAATTTGCAAACAAAGGAATCGACGCAGTTAATATTGGTAATATTCTTAATTACAAAAGGGTCAAGTCTTGTATTCCATCATATTTCAAGTTGAAGTCCACACCTTGTATTTCTTATAAATATACATCGACTATTGCTTCCACACATTTTAATTATTAAAAAAAACTCTACAATGCCTAGATATCGAACATCTGATACATAATCCTCCTACGTGTTCATGTTCTACTTCACCCTACAGCTATAGTCCTGCAGGACACGTCATTACTGGTGATGAAAACATAGTTAATAATGAAGACCTTATGTCCCTTATTTTAAAAGGGCCAAAATTTAGGGAACCCCGTTCTTTCAACTGGCGTCATAATTTTATAAATATTTTGAATTCTGTGGAGGATTACGCCAGGCGATGGGCCAAACACGAAAAAGAAGACCTTAACACTTTGACAGAATGGATTAAGAGCATCAGATGGATGTTGAAATCTCGCATTAAGCGACTGAGTGGCTGTATGAAAACTATTTATCTTTCTGTCTTTAATAATTCAGAAGTGAAAAAGTAATTACATAGATCACACAATCAGTATGTACTTGTCCCAGCTGACAAAGCTGGTAACAACATAGTCTTTGTAAGGCTCATTATTTTTATTGTATTTTAGAGGAACTAGGATTTAATTCTACGAGTGGAAATCCTCCCTTTCTAAGGAGGAAATTCTTCAAAATCATATGTCCGTTATAGATAATTTTAATATTCCCAACAATCAAAGTGAATTTGAATTACCATACCTCTACTGGATTCCTAAACTTCATAAAAACCATTACAAACAAAGATACATATAGCGGGTTCCAGTAAATGTTCTACCAAGCCTCTTTTTTTACTCCTCACTAAGATATTAACAGTAGTGAAGGAGAAACTTCAAGAGTACTGTGCAACGATATATTCGAGAAGTGGTGTAAATCAGATGTGGATAATAAAAATTTCCAAGGAACATTTGGAACACTTGAAATTACAGAATTGTACCAAAATCAACAACATAAAAACTTACGACTTTTCAACTTTATATACACTATTCCCCACGATAAATAAAAATCTGATTGAACACACAAGTATTCTGAAGTTTACATTAAAAGATGGTCGAGTTTCTGATTGACAATATCTATGTGGTTTTTGGAGACCATGTTTTCCCACAATCTGTTGGAATTCCCATGGGTATCAATTGTGACCCGTTATTAGCAGGCCTATTTTTATACTCATATGAAGCAGAATTTGTTCAAAATCTTTTACGTGAAAAGAAGAAAACACTTGCTGTGGCCTTCAACGCGACATTTCGAAATATCGACGACGTATTGTCAATTAACAATTGTTATTTTTATTCTTATGTCAAAACGATCTATCCAGGTGAGCTTGAGATAAAAGATACCACAGAGTTTGACACATCTGTTTCATATTTGGACATTTTATTAGAAAAAGACGATAATGTAAATCTAACAACAAAGCTTTATGATAAACTTGATGACTTTAACTTTTCAATCGTCATCTTCCCTTACTTATGCTGGGGTAACGTGTCATTTATCGCATGTTGCCCGTCCCTGTCCTTTAACCTTGTTATTAGCCTTATGATAAGCATTTTAAAAAGCTTCCATTCTTTTTTTAATATTTCCTTCATCAATATTGGCGACATGTATTGAAAAAAAAACAGCTTTACAATTTAGCAATATGTTGGTAAGTTAAGCCCATTTCGAAAAATATTGAAATTTTGACATCGGTGTTTATGCCACAATTAATCATTGTGATACCATGATTTCCTTGACTTTTTCATATGGAATGAAAATGCAGGATTTGATGTTTAAAATGATATATAGTTTGTAATAAAATTATGATAGGTAAGAAAAATAATTAGATTTAAAAATGTAATATATATATTATGAAACACCCTGTATATACATTGTACTTAGTGAAAAGTAGCAATAAAATTTTCCTTCAGTGAATACAGTTTTAGAGTCACGTAAATATTCTTAGGATAATTGAATGAGATGAAATGTGATTAAAATTTCAAAAAAAGAAAAGAAATTCTAAAATTACAACTTAGAAAACTTAGAGGAGCTATGTAAGGTTTTTTTTTTTTTTTTTATATATTTATAGATTAGTTTGGAGTACAATGGTCGCCACATATGCGGTGGAACCCTTGTCAGGAACGACGCCGGAGATTTGGTTGTCGTCACTGCTGCCCATTGTGTTGACGGGTAAAAATGTAGTTCCACACTATAAAACATTTCGAATTTTATTAAGATCTGGAAATAAGTCAGTCGGGAGAAATCTGGTATTAGCTGGTGAAACCTTTTCTAATAGAGAACAAGCTAGGTTATGGAGATTGAGAATATATTTACATGTATTTCAGAGAGAGAGAGAGAGAGAGAGAGAGAGAGAGAGAGAGAGAGATTCTAGGGATGGTAGTATATATTGTACTACAACAGTTAAATTTTGATGTAGATATGTCAAAACTGTCAATTATCAGTAAAAGGTCCATTCTGGTCAGAACCAAGAATTGAATACAGAAGGTTACTGTATAATGCTATTCTAAACACGGCATTATTTTTGGCATTCGAATAAGACGTTTACATCTAGGTACCTTATAGGCACTGGTATGAAATTAAATGCCTATTAATATGAAATGAATTTTTAGGACTTGTTCTTTGACAATTTTATGTTTTGTAGATCTCTAGGAAATCCAAATAACCTTAGAATAAAAGTAGGAGAGATGAGGTTGAGCCAAAATCTCGGACAACGTATGTCTGTCCGAGAAGTCAGAAAACACAGGAGTTATAGCTCAGCAACAATTAACAATGACATTGCCATATTAACATTTAACACTCAACCAGCTGAAAGCAGTTCTGTCATGCCAGCGTGTTTGCCATCCAGAGATCATGGAATCAACGAGTTGGCTTACGTTACTGGCTGGGGTACTACATGTTGTACTTCTGAAGGTAAGAATATTAAAAAGAGGTATTCTAAGAATAAAATAGTGAAATGGTGTTTACATGTAACTAAGTTTTCAAAGATACCCCTGGTGTGTCAAATAAAGCGGTTCAAATTAAGACACTAAGATTAAAGAAATCTTTAAGAAATAGCTTTTTTATGGAATATCTATTGATAATTAATCGAATAACGCATGGTTTCATATCTCATGTGCAAACTTTTAATAGCTCATCGAACATAAATGTTTTGCAAAATTTATGTCAAATTTCCTTTTATTAATTAGTAAGGGATTTCTGTGAAATGTGATTTATTAGTTAAAGTTTGAATCTTTAAAAAAAAAGCGTTTAATAATTTTTTTTTTTCTTTGAAATTGATTTTTTTTTCAAAATACTTAGAATGTAACAATTTTTATTTGAATTTAATTAAAAAACGATAAAATTAGAATAAAATATTTAGATATTAGCAATAATTCTTATGGTCATAGGTTTCGAGAGAATAAACATTGTAATAATATGGTATATAAGATAAGAGGATAGCTTTCACTTTACTTTTTAATAACCTTTCAGGTGGTTCTACGACAGACAGACTGATGGAAGTATCTAAGCCTATTCTGTCTGACACCGCCTGCTCGTCTTTCCTCGGCAGTTCTTACAGGAGTGCCACCATGTTGTGCGCAGGTTACGAGGCAGGTGGCGCTGATGCGTGCCAGGTATTGGATTCAGATAACAATGTTCTATCTTAAGGAAAAAAAATCCCTTAATTCTGTCAAATCTAAATCAATATCTTAAAGGGGAAAACAGGGAAATGCATAAAATATAAAATGACGTAAATGTATATGCAGGTGTATATTTGCAGTAGACCTGTATTTCATCTGCTTTCTCATCAAATGAGAAGATTTTAAATAACCAGTAAATTAAAATCAAGTTATTTATAAATGTTCAAATAAGCAGAACCTAAGTGTGGGAAACAGGGATTTTCCAGGATTGAAATCAAAATTGATGTGGTCTTAATCAACTTTTGTCATTACCACCCTTTCTCTGAAGACGAATAAAGGAAATGATTTCTTTATAATAATTTTCCTTATGAGATTGTTTCGCTTTGTCAAGAACATTGATAGTAGAGGCAACTTGGCGACAGAACTACAGAAAAATAAAGTATGATCGTGTAAAATCTCATGAAAAACCATACAAACAGAAAAGACAATTGTTTAATACAATGTTAAATTGAGTTTGTTCATATCATGGACGATGTGATAGGATGAGGACACAACATGATCAAAATTTTAAAAGGAGATTATGAGAACAGTCTTTCATTTTCGTTGAAATAATGTGAACGTAAAATTTTCATAACTAATAGGCGTAAAGTTATTCTATAAAACACATCTAAGTACAACACTGTATTGTATTCATTTAATTCACATTTATCATACATTTTATTTAGGGAGACTCCGGTGGACCTTTTGTTGCTCAAAGAAATGGTGTCTGGGAACTGGCGGGTAGGTTTCACTTTCTGATTCGGTGAATATATATCTAAATGAATACTCAACTTACAGCATACGGAAAAAATGAACTGTATAGTTGAATCCACGCTTTTCAAAAGTTTTGTCCCTTGGCCACCATCTTTGTGAAAAACCCATAGAATCCTCACAGTAGCCTTTGTAGTTTTGTGGGTTTTAATTTTGTCATTTGACTTTAAAAATCTTTGCATCTTGTATATTGATTGCTCCAGGATGTGGCATAAATGTCTGAGAACGAAGCCTACGTCTATATCGACAATATGTCGATATCGTATTGACGTGGATATCGATCCTGATCAGTACTATGAACTTAGAAATACTGAATACCATATATAAGATTAGGTGCTATGTCGATGTCATCGATATCAACAATACCTTTCCGATATCGTATCGATATCGATCCTGATTTGTACAATTTAATTTAAAGTTGAGGTATAACATAATTTTACAAGGTCACAAACGATGTCGATATTGATTCATTAGTGGCATGAATATGTAAATAAATAACAAAAGGATGACAAACAAAGGGTTAGGGGTTGTTGTTGTCAGGGATTAGGGTTGGAGTAAGGTTTTGGGTTGGGGTGAAAGTAAGTAAAAACATTATGTTTTTAGCAATCATGATTCGATATCGATACGATAACGTCTATATCGACAGTAGGGCAAACGTAATAATCAAAAAGTACATAGACACAAGTATTGCATAAAAAATACAGCCACATGAGTGATGATGAAAATTATTCGATATCGATACGATATCGTCTATATCGATGGCAAGTACAATTTTTGTTAATATCGATACGATATCGTGAATATTGGCAGTCAGGAAAACTTCGTAAAACAGAAATTATTCTAATATACACACAATTATAAAGAAATATTGCAGCTAACTATAAAAAAATAATCTGTTGATAACTACATCGTGTCTTGGACACAACTCGGATATTGCTATGTTGAAAGAAAAACAAATCAAACACAGTGGATTTATCGGGGGAGCATGCCCAAATATTTAGTTGCAAACATGATTTAGTAAAGGAAAAATGTGTTTCTGTCCCTTTTGAACTTTTGGTTGACCCCACAAAGGGACACAACTTTTGCAAAATGTGGATTAGACTATTAGACACTATGAATTCTGAATGTGTTTATATGTTTTAGGCGTGGTCAGCTGGGGATATGGGTGCGCTAGACCAGAACTTCCAGGAGTATATGCTGATGTCTGGAATTTTGTAAGCTGGATTAAAGCCAACTGGAGCACGTGAACATATATAAAATACTCCAGTAATGAATAAATGAGATATATATACCTTGATTGCTATTATGTCTTAAATGTTTATGTGGGTTTATTAAGTCTTAGCCTTATCAAACGTGAATATTAGGATTCATATTTATTGTCACATATGGTCTTTTAAATACACTGTATACTAGTACATGTATCATTCTTGAAAAGGAACACTACTTTTTCCCCTCAGGTGAGATAAAATGTTTTTGCAAATCAAATATTATTATCTAACCAGAACTTATTTTACAATAATAAAAGTGCTTTTAGCTCCACCTTCAAATCTTATTTACATTCTCCTAACATCTTACAACGTAGAGTACATGGAGTATATATATATATATATATATATATATATATATATATATATATATATATATATATATATATATATATATATATATATATATATATATATATATATATATATATATATATATATATATATATTTGTAGGGAAATTATACTTAAGTTGGTTTTGAACTTATTAAAAAAAAATTAAATCATAAAAATATATTGAATTAACTCCGAAAATCAATTGGTCAATTGGATAGCAATTTTTGTTTATACATGTATAATATGTGATTTACATATAATCAATGCTTATAGCCAGTAATATCAGTTCCTTTTATTTGAACGTTCAAATCCTTTATATAAGGAACATGTTTCTCGACTTATAGAGTCATTATGCCAGCTAATACAATCATTCATTAAGTCAAATGCTGACTGACTTTTATCATACTAATTGTTAGGCCATTATTTACACACTGAATTGTCGACGGATTTTTCCGTTATTTCCCGATCATGACAAGGAGCACACGGCGGGTGTGACCGGTCGGCAGGGGATGCTCATTTCTCCATGGCACCTGATCCCACCTCTGATGTCTTAGGGGTCCGTGTTTGCTCTGCTCCTATTTTGTAATGTTTAATGGACTTTTGAGCTCGAATACTGTTCGTTATCTCCATATATTTCATATAATGTAAAGAAAATATTCTTACTTTAACAAAAATTTAAACTTTTTTTGTCTGCTCATAACCTACCATCAGAATATGTTAACTTATCCCCATACTATTATAACTATAGAAGACAGATACATGTATTTGCCATATTTAAAATGAACAACACAAACGTTGTTTCAGGTAAATGTCTGCACTTTATTTATTTATTCAAAAAAATTACTAACACATAAAACAATTTTATCCTTGTCTTTTTTTGACTCGAATAGACTCTCCCATATGCACAAATAATTGATAATAGTACAGTTATGTATCAAGGTTTTAAAGGAATACATATATAGCAACAACATACACCAGTATAATATGGTGCGTTTGTCTCCCAAAATATTATAAGCAAGAGCACGTTCTGTGTACGTGTTAAACTAAGGGAGGCTACTGACAAATGTGTAAATGTTACAGGGATTTAAACAGTCTCCTGTAAAGTCAGCATTTTGCAAATCTATGGTCATTACAATAACATTGTTTGCAAAATACATGTACAGCCTATCGTTTGGCTGGATTTTGACTGACATATTTCATATCAATAGGCAAGCCATTGTTTTCACACTAGTTATACGGATTACTCCGTTAACCTGATCAATGCAGAGGGCTCACGACAGGTGCGACTGATCGACGGGATACTTCCTCACCTAATAACCTGATCCAATTCTGGTATTTTCAGGGGTCCGTGTTTTTGCCCTGTCTTGATTTTTATTGTTTACAAACAGAAATTGATCACTATCTTCACGTTTCTTTATATATTACATTATTGGACTTGAACAGAACTGTTTGTTTACATCAAACATTTTATTTTGACTAATTAGGAATTGGGAACCGTTTTCAGTACGCGTTTTTTTTTTAAATTAATGAACATACTTTGAAGTGATTAAATAAAAGACATACTTTAAATTGATTAGATAGAAATATTATTACAATCAATTGTAATCAAAGTAGAGATTCGAAATGATAAGAATTAAAAAAAAAAATATAAGATTTTTGAAACAATGACCTACTTAAGATATTTTCTGTTTAGTGTTTTCCTGGTTTGCACAGATAGATACTAGGCCTACTTCAGTTAGTGTGTTTGGTCAAGTTTTTCTTTGAAATTATAATGTTAATCTGGATGGCGATTAATTGTTGGATTGAAGTGAAATCTGGGCAGTGTTGCTGAAATCTTTTGTCCTGCTGTCAATATGAAGCATGTCATATGAATTGGTCGTTTACGACTTTTTGGACCATTTTCTTCATCAATTCGTACCGTTTCGGTGGAGCAAAGTTTTTAGATTGTTCGTATTTGTTTTCTAACTGAGAGACAGTGTCTGATACTAGAGAGCACCGCCCCTTCAATCCGTTCACCTGGTGACGTAATTGTTCAACTTCTGATTCTATCTGTTCTAATGACATGTCTGAAATAATGAAAAATGTGTTCAAGAAAATGACATGAAATATTTCCGCAGACCTTAATGTTTTATCTTCTATAAGTATGTAAAAATAATTGATTAAATAAGTGCGTGTGATATAAAATTTACTATGTGATGATAACTTAATTCTATGAAATCAAACAAAACAAACCATCTAAATCTGCCTTTCTCCTAGTTAGTTCTAAAGTATAGGACAATTCTTTATAACCATTGGCAAGGCTTCGAATTCCAGTCATCGATATAGATCCAGGTACTTTATCTTCATTTAGTTTAAAATGGAGAATTGTTCTTTTTATCATGCCTTTAAGTAAACCATACCGCCTTAAAGGGTCAAAATCTTTAGATCTTTCATAGTCCTGTTGTAGAGTGTACACAACTTGTCTGACATGCTTGTATTCACGCTGAAGTGAGTTCAGTTCCATACACAGTTGTTCGTGAGTTTTTCTGATGTTCTCTTTGTCTTGTCCTCTCTCCTGATTAAGGCTTTTTCCTACAATAAATATTAATGATTATGCAATCAAAATAAAAATATGTAGTTTAACCAAAGATTGTTCATCCTCAGTCTGTAATCCGTAGTCCATTGTCTATAAACGGTTCATATTCCATTTTCTTCTCCTGAACCAGCCAATTTTAGCCAAATTCTGCACAAAGTAAATCTGAATACAGGGACTGCTTGTGTATCACTTTGACTAATTACAATTACAGAATTTCTTTTTGTAGGATATGATTTAAGTATATTTAGAAAATTTGTCTTAATTCCCATGTAAAACTTAAACTCCCTCTCTGTCCTCATCTAAGCTTAGAAATCCCAATCACCGTTGTTCTTAAAGAGATCATGCCTGGAGCTAGGATGGTCCAACAAAAGGGTTTCAAATTTCATAGAAGAATATGTGGGAACGTTTGGAAGAAAAAACAGCAAGGCTGTGATTGCATTCAATTTATAATCAAGGCACACATTGTTTTAGATACATCATATTGAGTTTTGTTATGATAGGCTAAAATCATAAAAGGGGCTCGAAGACTTTATGGAATGTTTGAAAGGGCATCTACAAAATCAAGACTGTTTTTAGTCAAATCAATGTGAAAAATCCCCAAATATCCCCATTATACAAATATAATGTCTTAGAGATACAAATTCTAAGCATTAATGTGTAAATGTTTCCCTAAACAGGTACGTTTTAAGGTCAGATGACACGTCCATCAATGATAGATAATTTTCCCAGGATTTTTAAGTATTGCTGGTTGAACAAGTTTTATTTTCCCACAAAAATTTAAGGTACCTTACCAGACATTTGTGCAAGATTCGAGAAATTGGTATTTCTTAAATAATCCTATTTGAAATCTCAAATTTGTTGAAATCTAATTTTGGTAAACATATTTTTTGCCATTTTGAGAACAGTTTTAGAAATCACAAAATGATAATAATTGAAAATAATTTTGGTGCATTACGCAAATGCAAAACCAGTTATTCTAGGAAGATGTTGTCAGATCTTAAACAGCCAAATTTGTTTATTCGTCAGATTCAAATTTGTTTCAGTTCAGTCCACTTAGATTAGGGTTTGCTTGATAAAATAACGATGTTTTTACTTTCAAAAACCGTTTTTTTTTTTTTACTTTCAAAAACCCCTCTCCAGCCTAACAACATTTAATGATGGATTCTTCTCATGTTATGTGTATTTAAAATTATTGACATTGCTTAAGTTTCAAGAAGACAATTTCCTAAGTGATAGGATCAATTACATTAAAATTAAAATCGTCCGTCTTATTTTAGTAGAAAATTTAGTACAATGTCATTATCATTTTCCTCGACATTAAGTTTAAAATATTACTGCAGCCAATCGTGTGATAACCTACTTTTATTTTTAAACATTTTATGTAGAAGATTACGCCAGACAATGGGCTAAATATGAAAAAAGACCTTGTCACTTTGTCAGAATGGATTAAATGCATCAGATGGATGTTGAAAGGGCGCATTAAACGATTGAGGTGCAATATGAAAACCATCTATCTTCTGTCTTTGACAATGCAGAAGTGAAACAAGAATTAGATAGATTACACGATCAGTGTGTAATGGTCCCCGCTGACAAAGCAGGTAACAACATCTTTTTTGTTTGTAAGGCTCATTATTTGAATTGTATTTTAGAGGAACTAGGATTTAATTCTGCAAGTGGTAATCCAACTTATACCTATAGTTTCTTTCAAAGGAGGAAATTCTTCAAAACCATATTATGTCAGTTCTAAATATTTTTAATATTCCCAACAATCAAAATGAATTGAATTACCATACCTATACTGGATTCCAAAACTCCGTAAAAATCCTTACAAACAAAGATACATAGCGGGTTCCAGTATATATTCTACTAAGCCTCAATCTTCACTCCTTTGAAATCACGAAAGTTTAACAAAATCAATAACATCAAAACGTACGACTTTTCAACAATTATACAACCATTCCCCACAATGAATTAAAGTCCAGGCTTTATGACATCATAGACAATTGCTTTTTCAATATAAAAATTCGTAAATATCCTAACCTTCTCATTGGTCATTTGCAAAATTATTTTGTTAAAAAAGCATTCTGATCACGCATTTGTATTCATATGGAGAGCAGAATTTATTCAAAATCTTATAGATGAGAAAAAGAAATCTCTTGCTGTGGCCTTCAACTCGAAATTTAAATATATCGATGACGTAATATCAATTAACAATAGTTATTTTCATTCATATGTCGACTCGATATATACCTCAGTGAACTTGAAATAAAAGATACCACAGAGTCTGACACATCTGTTTCATATTTGGATATTTTACTGGAAAAGGACGTTAATGGTAATTTAACAACAAAACTATATGATAAACTTGATGACTTTAACTTCCCAATCGTCAACTTCCCTTACTTAGAGAAACTATGATCAGAAAAGCTCTGAGCTAACAATCGTGAATTCTTGCTTTTCAGGGTAATTTATTCCTCCTGTAGAGGGCTGTCCTACATGTTTGGAGAAATTCTTTATGACTGAAATATATAATACATGTACCATCCTGATAGAGCTGTTACACACACAGAAACTATATGTAGCAATCAGATGAGTATTTACAGTCACGGTAGCTCAGTCGGTAGAGCGCTCGAAGCGCTCGCTCCGTGATTGAAGGGTCGTGTGTTCAAATCACGGCCGCGACTGACATATGTCGATAAAAAATAGGTAGCAACTGTTCCTTCGCCAAACGCTCGACACTTTGAAGTGACAGTTGCAGGTCCTATTGATGAGACCTTAAAAACCGAGGTCCCGTGTCACGGTAGGCGTTTGCATGAAAAAGAATACTCACTGCTCAATGGCCTTGACTGCTGAGGTATAAATTTGAAGCCCTTCACCAGGATATGGTGACATCTCTTTATGAGTGAAAAATTCTCGAACGGGACGTAAAACAACATACAATCAATCAATCAATCAGATGTGTGTTTAATTAACATTTTATTCTCTATTTCAAACATGGTAATAAAGAATAACTCCAGAATAAACCCAGTAAAGCCTTTTTCAGGTGAGCATATGTCTTCATATAGAAAATTTTCATTTAAAGCCCCCCACCCCCACTCACCCCCACCCATTTAGTTTGTTTGTTTGTTTGTTTTTTTTTGGCACGTCAATTTTGTTCCCAACCCCACCCCAATACCCCCACCACTTCCCAAATCAATCCACACTTTGAAAAACAATGCTAAAGGCCTGGATTGTTTTGTGTTGTTAAACATTGTACTCATTTTGCACTGTTAAAAATCTACTTTCAAAACATGTAAAATGTACACAAATGACCACACTTAAAATCATCAAAATCAACAAGCTATTTTCATTTCATTAATCAAATTTTGAGCAGTAAGTTTAACATAGCATTGCTCTCATTCTTTGCAAAAATTGTATGCAAATATATTCATAAACAAATAAAAAGAATCTGAATGGTGGCACAGAAAGCTATCAACAATGACACAAAAATGTGGATTTTTTAGTTCTTTTGAAGTTCGAACAGTCTGAGATTAGATAATAAGTTATGGCTTTGAAATAAAAATGTGTTTACATCATGAAAATTAAGTCACATAATATTGTTGCTAATTGTATAAAATATTGGAAGAATTGAATACATCAACCCAATTAACATGTAATAAACGTTAGAATTGTCTACTCTGAATAATTAATGGGGCAACTTGTTTGCTTAAAACACTAGATTTACAGGAGAAAGGCCTTTTTCTCACACAGAAGATGGTGTTAAAAATGAAATTTAGTCATATTTAGTATCGTAAATAATGGATATAGGATGACACTTTTTTCTTGGAGGCGCTGATCTTTTCCCATCCATCAGAACCACCTTTTATGAATCAAGTTTAGAATTTGTCAAAGTTATAAAAAAAGAGAAAACAAAAACAAATTTCAATCCAGAAAAGTGCCACATGAAGATGTTTCAGTTTGCAAGTTACAAAAAACATAGGTAATCAAAGATTACAGAGCTCACCTCAACAAATGTAACCTTTAAGTAAAGCAAAGTCCCACACTAAATTAACAATCAAGTAGTGTGCATCACTAGATGCAACATTTATGCAATTTTGGTCGGATAGGACTTACAGTTACTTGCAAATGGACTTGTTCTAACTTTAAACTAGTCACCCATCTGGAAAATGTAGGTCATATCCAATATCCGAAGCAACTCTAGTAGTGTGCATACCTTGATGCAACATTCATGGAAGTTTGGTTCAGATAAACCTCATAGTTTCTAAGTTTCTTGGGAAATGGATCAAAAACTTTAACCTGGTCGCTCATCTGGGGGGTCATGATTTGAACAAACTTCATATTACAATACCTAAGGTTGCTTCTGTATAAATATGACTAATAATGGCTTAGTTGTTCTTGAGAAGAAGATTTCAAAGATATTTCCTACGTAATGTGTATGATCAGGTTCCTACAAGGGATTAATGATTTCTTTTACTCTGTCTGATTTAAGACTGGAATGACTATTAAGACAACTATGTCTGAGGGTATATCACATAGTACTTAAATTTTCTCTTATCTAGAGATGGGGACGGGGTAAGGTATTACTTACACTGTGTTTCTCCCCTAGGATCCTATTGATAGATAAGAACCAGTTGTCTCAATCTTCTACAGATTTACTACACCCAGAACTTAACATCAATTCCTTAGGATACTTGCCACTGATGCTTATACCTTTTATTCTTTTATTTTGCCATTACCCTAATTTAACTTCTTTCTTGATGACTCAGCTGCCAACTTCTTCAGCTAGCTTCTAAAAGCCTTACTTTCCCATAGCTTTGCCTTCTATACCCTTTGGTTTGGCTAGTCCATTCCAAGGGTTGTCAGGTCATTCCACGATTTGAAGTCTGTAATGCGTTTACTCAAATACCCCTTTACCATACACCTATATATCCCTATGTAAAATTCAAGCCACTGTTGTGATCCCGCCTTTCCCCCAGGAGTCATGATTTAAACATACTTGAATCTACACTACCTGAGGATACTTCTATATTAATATGACTAGTAATGGCTTAGCTATTCTTGAGAAGAAGATTTTTAAAGATATTTCCTATAGATTCCTACGGTAAACTTTGACCCCCTGCTGTGGACCTGCCCTACCCCCAGGCTTCATGATTGGAACAAACTTGAATCTATATTACCCGAGGATACTTCTATTATAATATGACTAATCATGGCTTTGCTGTTCTCGAGAAGAACATTTTAAAAGACATTTTTTATATATTCCTATGTAGGCCCTGCCCTACACCCAGGGGTTATGATATAACATCAATTATTCAAGAGTTATGAACAAGGTTAACATTTGATAAATTTTGGCAAAAATGTGTCGAAGTCCAAGGTCAAGAGGTCAAATATGTTGGTACCCAAAGAAAGGTTTTGTCGCATGTGAAATGTGAAAATCATAGCTGCACCTAATCAAATGTTATGGGCAAAGTTGAGGTTTTTGCAGACAGACGGACGGACAAAGCATAACTATATACCCCGAAATCTTCGGTATAAAGAAACTCAAACATTAAATTTTGCAATTTATTCAGAATTTCACATTGCATACAAAAATACCTTTATTATTGTTTGATCTTATGCCATGGTCTGAATGATATAGTATCCAAAATTATACATGACATGACTTTCAAAAGACTAAAATTTTCAAAATGCTTCACCATTATATTCTTCATTTGTGTAGAAAAAACCCCACATTTCTTTCATTTGATTCAATCAGCTTTAGTGCCTTTTTCCTAAAGCAATTTCTACTCTCTTTTCTTCAGCGTAGATTCAATTGAGGCAATGCAGTTGTGGATTCCCCTAGAGGTCTCGACTGAGAGTAAACTAATTGATGGGGTCATGTGAATCACTTCATCTAAACAAGATACAACAATTGAAAGACTTACTGTTTGTACAGACAGTGGTTGTTTTTTTCCTCATAGGACGGATCTGTACCAAAGTTTTCAATGGTGACTGACAAATGGGGCAACTAGAAGCCTGGTATCGGAGGGACTCGGCACAGTTACTACATAAACACAAGTGGCGACATGGAAGTATGAGAGTGTCACGAATATCTGACATACAGTTCACACACTCTGCTTCACTGTCTTTCATCTCATCATGTGGTTCTTCCAGCTAAAAGATAAATAAAACTTCCCATGATGAAAGCACTGTCTATTAATAAATATATTGCATTTGAAATCACGTCATCTACTCCTTGTTGTAATTTACCTTTGATCGGTCTATCTCCTTCAGAAGATAGAGGAGTCCATCCACAAACTGTTTCTGCTTTAATGCTTTTATCATGTAGCCTCCATCCACTGAGCTCTTCTCCACCACAGCATAAGTCAATTGCAAAAATGACATGGATGATCTGGTCAAAAAGCAACAACATGAACAACGAATCATATGACACAGCATAGGTCTAGTGACAATGCATGGATGATCTAGTCAAAAAGCATCAGCATGACCGACAAATCATATGACACAGCATAGGCCTAGTGACAATTACATGAAGATCTACGTAGTCACAAAACATAAGCATGAACAAAGTCACGTCCTTGTCACTTGATCTATGTTGTGTCACATGACATGTCATATGACACAATATAAGTCAAGTGACAATAACATATGGATGATCTAGTCAAAAGTCAACCATATTAATGAATAGTCCTATAAAAATGGACTATCACATTTCTAAAATCAAATATTGTAGAGAATTACGCCAGGCGTTGGGCCGGACATGAAAAAGAAGACCTTGACACTTTGTCAGAATGGATTAAATGTATCAGATATATATTAAAATCTCGCATTAAGCGATTGAGGGGTAATATGAAAACCATCTATCCTTCTATATTCAATAATTCAGAAGTGAAAAAAGAATTAGATAGATTACACGATCAGTACGTACTGGTCCCTGCTGACAAAGCAGGTAACAACATTATCTTTGTTTGTAAGGCTCATTATATAAATTGTATTTTAGAGGAACTGGGATTTAATTCTACAAGTGATAATCCAACTTATACCCATAGCTCCCTTTCTAAGGAGGAAATTCTTCAAAATCTTATGTCAGTTTTGAATATTTATAATAATCCCAAAAACCAAAATGAATTTGAATTACCATATCTATATTGGATTCCGAAACTTCATAAAAATCCTTACAAACAAAGATACATAGCGGGTTCCAGTAAATGTTCAATCAAGCCTCTTTCTTTACTCCTCACTAAGATATTAACAGTAGTGAAGCAGAAACTTCAAGAGTACTGTGCAACAGTATATTTGAGAAGTGGTGTAAATCAGCTGTGGATACTAAAAAATCAAAAGGAACTTTAAGAACATTTGAAATCACAAAAAATAACCAAAATCAACAACATAAAAACTTACGACTTTTCAACTTTATATACTATTCCCCACGATGAATTAAAGCCCAGACTTTCTGACATCGTTGACAGCTGCTTTTTCAATAAAAATGAACTCTTAAATTTACTTACTTTGTCATTTGCAAAATTACTTTATTAAAAACAATCTGATTGTACACACAAGTACTTTGAAGTTGAAATTAAAAAGAGGCTCGAAATTCTGATTGACAATATCTATGTGGTTTTGGGAGACCAGGTCTTCCAACAATCTATTGGAATTCCCATGGGTACCAATTGCGCCCCGTTATTAGCAGACCTATTTTTGTATTCATATTAAGCAGGATTTGTCCAAAATTTTTTACGTGAAAAGAAGAAAACACTTGCTGTGACCTTCAACTGGACATTTAGATATATCGACGAGGTATTGTCAATTAACAATGGTTATTTCCATTCTTATGTCGACACGATATATCCTGGTGAGCTTGAGATAAAAGCTACCACAGAATCTGACACATCTGTTTCATATTTCGATATTTTATTAGAAAAAGATGTTAATGGTAATCTAACAACAAAGCTTTATGATAAACGTGATAACTTTAACATTTCAATAGTCATCTTCCCTTACTTTTGCAGCAATATACCCTTAGATACTTACATTATAAATACTTAAAGGATCCATCTTCTTTCACAACCAAAGAACGAGGGCGCTTTTGATATGGTTTTTGCAGGAATCTGGGCCCAGTTGAAAAGTGAAAATGTTATTAATGTGACATGTGATATTTTAGCATTCTATTAATGAATCAAAATCTTGTGATATAGGAAAGGTCAATTTAATCCCGATATTGTGTTTGATTTGCTAAAATATGCCTTGAAATATGGCTAGATGAATCATTTGGTACAAAATGTTATATTTTTAGAAACGTTATTAATATACACATGTAAATTAACAATCCCTGAGTCATCGCTCGCATTTTAAAAAGGGATTTTTGTGCATTTTAATTAAAGAAACCAGCGTATATATGAAAATAATGGAGTGATGACCTAGAGACCATTAAAAATGAACTTTTTCCATAAAAATCACATGTGAATGTTTTGCTTCATAATCATTTAAAAACTCAAAAAAGATATATATAGCGACGATTGCGCAGCGGGATGATAACTGTCAGTGATTCAGTGACGGTGAGGAATAGATATGTTTTGGTTCGATCCTTGCTTGGGGAGTTTATAATTATTCATCTAGGCATTTTTTCTCTCTTTACTGATTTTTTTGATATTTAAAACAAGAGACCCAAGGGCCTTAACGGTCACCCGAGTATAATGTAACGATCCATAGATAAAAACAAAATAAGCTGATAAATAAAGCTATGTTGCCCAAAAGCAAGAGAAATAAGATAATCAGGGATCAGGAAAATATTAAGTACTCAATAACAAATTTTAAAAAAAAAATGATCAATTTATTTGCCTGTACTTTCCCTAAATGTGTCACTATCCACTTAGGGACTAAACAAAACAATTGTTCTAGAGCACTATCAGTTTCTCTCGCATTGGCCTCTCTTGGTCTTTAAAGATTATTTATTGTACAGAAATATGGTATTCTTGTCCCATTTTCATTTATCTATTATTTAAAACTTTTCCTGACCATTAGAATCTATGAAAGTACTTTTGTATTAAATATTATAATTTTTTTTGTATAATTCTGTTATTCAATTGACCTTTTAAGTTGCATTATTTACATTGATTAACTATTATAGGTGAATAGCCAAGGGGAATTACTTTTTTTCAGTAGAAATTAATAAATTCACCAAAGGGTACACGATTTCAAAAAATGGTAAAAGCGCCCCTGCTTATTACAACTTATATACTCTACTTGCCTCCTAGATGCCCAGGAGCAGAGACGAAGATTTTCAAGGAAATAATCCATTTTCACTAAAGATTCAATATAGCCCCACCTTAATACCTAAGCCCCTGACCCAGAGGCCAAGATAATCACAGTTTTGCAAGAGTAGCCTTGCTCATCATAACTATATGCTTGGTTTATCTGCTAAGTTCACAGGGACAATGTAAATTTCAAAGAAATGCGCTTTCACTATATAATCAATAGAGCCCCGTCCTACAATGTAACACCAGAACCTCTGACCCTGGGGCTACTTTCACAATTTTGGAAGAGGCGTCCTTGATCATCATAACTACATACATGTATTTAGGTCACCTGAGTCACTCAGGTGACCTATTGCTATCCGTTTTTGTCTGTCGTCGTGTGTTGTGTGTTTACATTTGAACATTTTTAGCTTCTTCTCTGAAACCGCTTAACCAATTTCAATCAAATTTGGCATATAGCATCTATGGGTAAAGGGGAATAAAAATTGTGAATTTCATGGTCTCTGCTCCCCTGCGGCCTGAGAGATGGGGCTAAAACCAACCAAAATTAATGCAATCTTTAAAAATCTTCTTCTTTACTCCTGGACATCAAGCAGTCAAACTGGTGGATGAATGTAATATTAAGCATTTTGAGAACATTTAAAAAACTTTTTCTAGATATATGTACATGTATTCCCATGCTAACTTTTTTGCATACAAAGAGGTGCCAAATGAGACATCTGGATTTTCTCCCTTTGAATTGCTGTATGATAGGCATGTTAGAGGACCCTTAGCAATCTTGAAAGAACTGTGGGAGGAACCCACAGTGCAACGGGCTTCAGTATGGAGCTATATCCTGGAGATGAGGGAGAGAATGCAAAATATTAGAGATTTGGTTAAAGAATCAGAGGAAAAGCGAGCACACGTACAGTTGAGGTAGGGCAGAAAGTTCTTGTTCTTCTTGCAACCAGCAGCTCTAAGTCGATGGCACAGTGAAAAGGTCGGTATGAATGAAATATGGAGATAACGAACAGTATTCAAACTCAGAGTCAATTAAAACGATACAAATAGGTAGCAGAGCAAACACGAACCTCGAAAGTGGTGAAAAAGGTAAGTCCAATTGAATACAAAGTTAAAAATATCAAAGACTAAGGAACCCGTTTATCATATCAACATGTTGAAAGAGTGGTTTAGCAGAGATTCGGAAGAGAAACTTCTGAAAAGCAATGAAGTTTTGGAATGTATGGATGTAAAATCAAGTTTTTTGCAGATGTTTCTAATAAGGACGATTATGCCACCTTTAGAACCTCAATTCTTCAACAGACAGAATCGTCAAAGAATGTTGAGTTATCGCCAGAACTGTCGGAAGAACAGCAAAAGAACAGCAAAACAGCTAAGAAGGTTAGTAGAAGAATTTGAGAATTTATTTTCATATGTTCCAAAGAAAACATCCTACATCCAGCACACTATAAAAACAACAACCGAGGAACCAATCCAGAAGAAACATCTTTTCCATTCCGTATGCGCTACAGGAAAAGGTAAAAACAGAAATCAAACAGATGAAAGAGATGGGAATCAAACAGGACACGGATAGCCCTTACGCAGTGCCTATCATCTTAACGAAAAGAACGACGAAACCCTTAGATTCTGCGTGGATTATAGGGATCTGAATAAGGTAACTGTGTTTGATCCTCTGCCAAAGCCGAGAATTGGTGATATTTTTTGATATGAAAATTATGCGGAAACTTTTATTGATTATATAGGTGTTTACAGCGATTCTTGAAAGGATCACCTGGTATATCTGAATGAAATTTTTACAGATTTTACAGATTTGCAGAAAGAAAGCTTACCGTTTAAGTGTAAATTTGTTTCTGTGAGGTCTGTTTGTTATGAAATTCCGAATAATAATTAAGTGGTAGAAATGCATAATGAATAAAAAATGAAAAGTTGTTCAACTGTTAAAGTTGTTTTGAATACGATACATCCATATTTTGCACCGCGCCGTGCAGCACAGCTAGCCTACCCTGCAGAAATCATCGGCATCATCACGCGACAAAGATTCAGGGTATCAGCTTGCGGTTCATCTTGAGATCTAATAATAATACAAATAGGCCTTTATCTTCATTTTGATGACAATAAATTCTAACTTCATAACACCGATGAATCAGTTTCATGAATAAATGCTCTAAAATTTCTATTTATCTATTATTATTATTTTTTGTAATTTTACTTATTTATTTATTGCGTGGACCCTGAGGTCCACGCAGAAAATATACAAACGAGGTTAAACCGGGTGTCATGGGCTTACATCAGTTTACACATGCGCGAGAATGCTAATCATTCGTCACTAGCGACAACTTGCCCTTAGGACAATTCGCCATATTCGGATTAGAATTTATGGTGGTATATTTCTGCCATCACTTCTCAGATGTTTAAGTTGACTTGTCAGATATTTATGCCAGCTAGAAAGATAATTATGTCTACTTTCAGATAAAAATTATCACGACCAGGAACTCGGTATCTTATTACAGCATGTTCAGTCGACACACTGATTTCTACCTGTATCTCATGCCGACAAGCTGTCATTCCCTACAAACTTTCAAAGGTATGCCTAAGGGTCTAGCCACCAGAATCCGCCGCATCTTATCATCCTCTGCTTCATACCAGGAAGATTGATTGATTGATTGATTGTATGTTGTTTTACGTCCCATTCGAGAATTTTTCACTCACAAGAGACGTCACCATATACAGGTTAAGGGCTTCAAATTTTGACCTTACTCGGCACTCGGGGCCATTGAGCAGTGAGGGATCTTTATGCTGCCAACGCCTGCCGTGACACGGGGCCTCGGTTTTTAAGGTCTCATCCGAAGGACCCGCAACTTTCACTTCAAAATGCCGAGCGCGTGGCGAAGGAACAGTTGCTACCCATTTTTATCGACTTGGGTCAGTCGCGGTCGAGATTCGAACAATCTCCCGATCACGGAGCGAGCGCTCTACCGACTGAGCTACCGTGAACGGTCATACCAGGAAGAGAGCAATCTCCTAAAGTCCCACTTGTGCATGAGAGGCTACAAAGCCCCTACTGTACAAACTGCTATTGATGACATGGCAGGACATGACAGACAAAACCTTTCACAATAAAAAGAAAAAAATATAGTAGCAGCAGGGTTCCAATGGTAACAACCTGTCCTGAAGGTCCCGAAGGAGAGCCGCTCCACTTTACTTCTTAAGCTGCATATGTAGGACTTTTTCTACCAGCTTAACAGGGGTCCGCGTTTTCTCGGGGGGGGGGGGGGGCAAGGTCACTTTTACTTGCTTTACTATATACATTAAATATATCTGCAAATTCCAGGAGGTTCCAGAACACACACCTGACCCCCTCTAGATCCGCGCATGGAGAGGGCGTCATTTTGATGTACATGTAGTGATAAATGGGGGAAATATTAGATACTAGACTTATTATTTTGTTGATCCTAATCATACTATTTTTCTTGCCATTGGGCAACAAAGCTTCATTTATCAGTTTATGGATCCTATAAATTGTTGTACTCAGGTGATCGTTAGGGCCCTTGTACATCTTGTAGATATGGAAAAAAAACAATGGAAAAAGGAAATTCTACACAAGATTCTGAATTTTATAAGCAGTTGTGCAGTTGCACATCAGTCAAACGTGAGGACACTTTCCAGAACTGTCAGAAGATAGACATTTCATTTATTTTCATTTGTTGTTTCTGTAAAAATTTACTTTAATTTGTTTTGTTATTTAAATTTTGTTTAAATTTAGTTTTCGTTGTTTCTTTCATTCATGCAGGTTCTAAAAGGTGTATAACTCACATCTCAACAGTACTATGGTAAACATTGTGTGAGATAAAAAAAGGGGAAATTCTACTATGGTAACATTGTGTGAAATAGAGGAGAAATTGTACTATGTAAAACATTGTGTAAGATTCCGGTGGGAAAACTATAGACTAAACCCTATTCTACATGTACCACACTGATAATCATGTTAATGGTGTTCATGATGCAGACATCCTCGGATTCAAATATTGACCCCTGGAGTTAGGGTTGGACAAAAATAGGGACTCGAATTTTTACTTAGAAATGTATCGTAAATTACAAAAAATGAATATATATTACAAACAAACACACGTAGAGGATCATATTTTTACAGGGGTCTTTTTCTACGTGAGGGGAGTCGCAGAATTATGAGCATTTAGTGGATGGAATGATTTCCTACGGTGAAAAAAATGACCAGATCTATCAAATACACTGTAATTTAGACACAGGGTCATATGTCAACAAAGCAAATTTACCCCCGGTCATCTGTCAATGGGGGGGGGGGGGGGTCAATAACGTCGTTATTACTGAAGTGAATTTACCCTGTCAGTTTCTCTTTCGGTCTATTTTTTTCTTGAAATTACTTTGAATATACATGTATAAACATTATTGTCGTTAAGTTTTTACAACTGGTATTTGCCAAAATAAAAATCTTACAGTAATTAAAAAAAAAACATTTACATAATTATGTTGAATACCTCTTATATGTCTCTGAGTTTGAAGTCCCGACTACTCTTTATTAAATATAATTTATTAAATATAATTTTTATATTCTAACCTCGATATTTCGAATCCTCGGATATTTCGAAGTATTAGATTCAAATGGAAAATAGTTTACATGGTTGAAGTATGTTTATCAAAAATGAATTTTATGCCTAACCATTATATGAAAAAAACTTGAGACGAAAGAACAATAATTTATTATCACACCACAAAATATGATAATAAGATTTAGTGTCATACATACATGTGTATTAAATTCATATTTGAAAACATAATGACGCGTTGCTTTTTAAGTCAGAATATCACCTGTTATATATAATTGAAAAAACAAAATTCCATCAGCAACAGTTATCATTATTTAAAATACTAAATGCACCAATGAAAAACAAACTGTAAATCTTTACATAATAAATTATTAATTTTTATTAAAAGAGATAGAGACAACTTTTACAAAACACTGTGTGCAAACGTTTTATATCAATAATTTTAGTAGCCATAAAAATGACAAAAGAAAATAAAAGTCAATATTTGTGTCATAATTTGGTTTATCAAACTGACTATATAATGGTCTATACATTTTAAAATCAGTTTCTCTGGAAGTTATCCCTCTTATCAGAGGGTTGTTCCACCTTTCAATGGTGCTAGTTAAAAAAAAAACAAGAGTAATCAAAGGAATCAAAGGATTACAATCATCAGTGGACTTTTTGGAGCATAAAAAATTAAATATATACTAAGTAAGAATTTCTATTTTAAAAAGAAAAAGTATTGCATCAATCAAAAACTCATTTCCTTAATTAAAATGTCAGTATGTAATTTCTCTAATCGAAAAAAGTTTGTTGGTTTCTGTATCTTTATCTGGGAAATTATAAAAGAAATTTAATGTTTTGTAGTTGGGTTTGGAATTTATTTCACGAGTGGGTCTAGATTTTTCGATTTCCCCCCTTTGTTTGTTTTTTCGCAAAGCAGTGTCGTGGGCTTTGACTTCATAGTTGAGCACTTGTGAGACGTCATAGATAAAGTTTTGTGAAATTGAGAATTGTAAACGTGGAATTTAACAACAATTTGGAGAAACTTTGGCAGTAATGTCTCTGTCAAGTTACTCTTGCTATCCTACAAAAGGTTAAGGGTCATTTTTTAGGACACTCTTCGTGAAGGGACGGGAAATCGAGAGTTATGCCGAACTTTTGATATTTTTCTCACAGTGTGAAAAATATCAAATTGATATATATTCACAGTGTGAAAACACATGACTTCTATTTCATAGATAAATTACAGTATTTCACAGTTGAAAATGTTCTAATAAGTAAAACAAAATGTTAAAATTTTTCCGCCGACTATTTCATTCAGAAAAACTGCCCGTTTCGTGTGATCAAATACGCTCTAAATACTTGAACACTCTTATCATGTTGGCATTTTTCTGTATCAAATAAAGCTTATTTGCGTCATCGACACAAATATTCCTGACATTTCGTACATTGTCATTCCTTGTTAATATTTTTGCAAGTATATTGCCCATTTGATCAAGAACAAGAACCCCAGAACTTTTGTAGGACGCGTTGCATACCAAGACATTTCCTACATAATCAACAATAACCCCATGAGGCCAAAAATCATCTGTCTTGAAGTTGAACTCTAAATTTGCATATTTATCTACAGCTATTAGCATTCTCAAATGGTAGTCTGATGCAAAAATTTTCCCCTCAGAATTTTCTGCTATATGATGAGGGAATCGGTACAGAGGTTTATGTTCAGCATTCCACTGGATCTCCTGCAAAATTCTGTTGCCTGTTTTTTCATATCGCAAAATTTTTGCCTCCTCTTCCACCAATTTTTCATTTTCTATCTTCCTTGTAAGCCCAACAAATATATTTTCTGTAAAACGCGACGAATGAATACAACGAGGAACCCAGTCTCCCGTTCTAGACAACAATCTGATACTCCCATTATCTTTTGCTTTTTGTACAGAACGTTCCTCTGGATCTGTGAACAAAAGCTCATTGTTTTCATTCATTGTCAATCCTGTTGTATAGGCATCGCATTTTATTTCACTGAGAATTTTTCCTGTGGAATTAATCTGGAGAAATCGATTGTCAAGATCGCTTATCCATATGCTATTGGAATATTTGCAGGTTATGTGATGAATTTCTTCAACATCGATTTCAATTTTCTCTAGTTCAGTCACTTTCTCCAGGAGCCTGTATTCACACTTTACTTCGCCATACTTGCCTAAAATAATTATTGGTTTACATGGTTTACCTTATTTATAAGAAAGAATTAAGAAGAAAGCAAGAGGTCCATGGGCCACAATGCTTAAAATATGACCCTGCTGTTCTTCATCAGCAGATTTTTTCTCCTCTATATTACTATGTAAAACTTTAACTCCCTGTAGTGACCCCAACCTACCCCCATGTACCCCATCAGAGGATTCTTCTACATTCATATGGCTAATCATGGCTTTGCTGTTTTTGAGAAGAAGATTTTTAAAGATGTGGCCCCTCCCTACTCCTTGAGGTCATCATTTGAACAACTTTGAATCTACACTACCTGTGGATACTTCCATATCAATATGAATAATCATGGTTTTGCTGTTTTGAGAAGATTTTCCCCAAATATATCAATATTTAAAACTCTGTTCGTCCATTGTAAGGCAATTCTACCTCCATGGGTCATGCTTCGAGAAATTTGAATCTGCACTATTTGAGGATGCTTCCATATCAATATGGCTAATCATGGCTTTGCTGTTCATAAGGTAGATTTTTAAACATGCTTTCCTATATATTACTATGTAAAACTTTGATCCTCAAAAAAAATTTTATGACCCCACTGTACATAAGAATTTTAGAATCTTCTCCTTAAGAACAGCAAAGTTTTGATTGGTCATATTTACATAGAAGCATATACAAGTAGTGTAGATTCAAGTTTGTTCAAATCATAACCCTGAGTAGGATGGAGTCACAACGGGCCATCAAAATTTTACATACGAAAATTTAGAATTTTTTTTTAAAAAAATCTTCTTATCTTCTAAGGAACAGCAAGGTTTAAATTAGTCATATTTTCATGGAAGCATTCTCGTGTAGTGTAGATTCAAGTTTTTTTCCCTTCAAATATTGAACCCCGTAGGAAGGGTGGGGCCACAATGGGCGATCAATATTTTAGAAAGGAGTACATAGGAAAAATCTTTAAAGAATAGCAACGCCATGATTAAGTCATATCTTTATGGAAGCACTTTAAGGAAGCATCCTTAGGTAGTGCAGATTTAAGTTTGTTAAAATCATGACCCCCGGAGCAAGGATGGGGCCATAATTGGCGATCAAAGTTTTACCTAGGAGTTTATAGGAATTCTTAAAAAATTAAACAAATAGGAATTATTTTTGTAAAATCTCTTACTCAAAAACAAAATAGCAATTTATGGAAATATCCCACAGGACGTAGAGTGGGGCCATGATATCTGATTGAAGATTTACAAAGGAATATAGAGAAAAAAAACTGTTGGAGGACAGCAGGGCCATAGTAACTCAGGTGAGCGATGTGTCCCATGGACCTCTTAATTTCTTTGTTATTGAAACGACTCATGTTTGAGTTCAAATGATTAAGAAAATAAATAATATTTCTGCATGTTTTCAAACAATTTATTTAGGTGAAAGTTTACACTCAACACTCACCGACGGCTTTAAATACGTGATCTTCTTTTTCTTTACTCTGAAAATAATTTTTCATGTATGTTATAGTTCTAATTATGAACTAAAAACCTTTCTTTCTTTCTTTCTTTTTATTTTTTCCTTTTTTATTTTACATATGAAAGCAAATTCATGTTCAAGAAATCATATACAAGTGCAATCATGTAAAATATAGATCTGCAGATGATGCCAATGACCAGACGATATTTACTTACATTCCAAATAGTATAAAGATTATCACATTCGACAGTGTGCGCACGGTCTTTACAGCCTGAACATTCGACTTTTCCACGTGAATCCAAAAAAAATTCCTCGGGAAGAATTGATGATTCCTTTCCAATTATATTTCTACAACGTATTCCAACACGGAATTTCATATGTCGATCCGTGGATTCAGATGACACAGTCTGGAGAAACCTTTGTATGCCGTCTCTAACTTCTGTTACAAGACTAGAATCCAGCTTATTGTTTTCAAGCACAAATACTCTTATTTCTATGGAATAATGTAAATTTTCACCAGAAAAAAATGATGTATTTTTGTCGGAATATTTTATTATAATCTTGTGCAATACGTGTGATAAACTTGATTTGTGCTCCAGAATGACCGCTGTATGATATACACACTCTAGCTGCCTTTTCCAGACCTTCCAGCCACAATTGTTAATGCAGTGAGTAACAAGTTGAAAGAATATTACTACTGGGAGGAATTCAAAGGCAAAACAAAGTGTAGAGGACATAGTACAATTTTGAAGAATTTCCCCTTCCTCAAACGTTTGCTTGTTCATACAAGGTACGTACCAAATCTTATCTCCGACTTCTGCCAGCAATCCAAAGCGAGTCATATAATGAAGCAGTGGTGTCTCATGATCGATATACGTCTGTTTTCTTTGCCACATTGATTCCAGTAAATCTTTAGTCAAAAGACCAGTTTTAGTAAAATCTTTCCATTTTCCACAGCATTTGCTGTCAAGTCTGGCTGGACTCTCTGGGTCAATTATACACTGAAATGCGTCAATAAACCACTGTACATTCAGAATGATAAACTCACTAGCAGGTTTAGTTGTCGTGAAAAGGATTATCTTCATTTCATGGAAAAACTTTAAAGCTGTCAACAAATCATTTTGACTGTCAATTCCAATGGATGTATTTCTTTTTATTTCTTCCCAAAGATCTAATGCCCTTATCACTTCTTTTTTTATGTTTCTCATGTTAACTTCCAGTCGCAACCAGGAAGTTGGTATTAATTTCCCCCAGTGAAGCTGGTCTTTAAGAATTTTAACAATGGTTCCATTAATTTCCTTCAAATTCTTATTTGAAAGTTTGGAAACTGCAAAAATTCTATCATTTTTTATGTGTATTCGAAGAGGATCCGGTAAATCATTCATTATTTTTTCACACAGCGAATTCATTTCCTGAAAAGTGATCAAACAAGTTATTAGCAAACTTCATTCATATTTATTTTTCAATGAGACATTGACTAAAATTGTTAGAATTTGAAAATATGTTTTAAACCCAATACAACAACGTCCAAAATGAAGACCAAAACGTGCATATGAACAATTTATCGCTAAATCCTTCAGATCTAAAATAAATCTTTTAACAAATTAAAACATACTTTTTACAGGATTTATTTATATATTGCATATAAAATTACATATATTGCAATTATGAGTGGCTTGAAAATAAATCCCCTTTATGAGAGAATCAACTTCAATCAAAACTAATAATTTTAGGCCAAAAATAGCTATTTCTATATTTTTGTTAGCAAGTTCCTTCTTTCAAATGAAATTCTTTAAAAACAATTATTCACTTATGGCATGTTTAAAGAGCAGTTAACTTTTTATGAACAACGATAAATTACCTCTTTCTGTCTCTCTTTTGGTATTTTTTCTGTGTGTGAGGCTACTATTATAACTGGTGCGTTCACAGAACCGAAGGTATGAATTGAAGACATCCAATATCTTATGTAATCTGATATTAAGATAGAATACCTCAATTAAATAGCCCATTACAATATCTATAGCTGTAAAAAAAAATTACTAAATTACAAAATTATACTTTCATTCATTAGACTATTTCTCTATTAAAAAAAATATATATCTATTAAGAAATAAATAAAGTGACATAATACCTATGTATCTCCAGTCTGAATATATAAGATCTGCTATTTCGCAAACTTCTTTGGCCTTTGAATAGAAATCTTTTGAGTAATCTACGACTAAAATGTAAAATGCCCGTGGACTTAAGTAAACATGATGACATGCGTAGTATACACTTTGTCCTCCAAAATCCAGAATAGTTACAATTTTCAAATCTTTTTCTTGGATTGTCAATGAAAACTTTTCGTCCTCCTCCTCCATTTTCTGTGGTTGGACTCGGATGTTCTTTGGTAGCACATTACTGCTCAGCTCATTCTCAGTATGTGATGTACATGCATTTTGAGGATTTGAAGATGACGAACTGCTAATCACTTGTGTGGATTCTTCCTTATCATCGACAACTTTTGAGCTCGTTGATGTAGTTTGCGAAATTTGTTTTGGTTCTTCGTGTATTTTGATTGCAGCTAGGTCGTTTTCCTTTTGATTATTTTGACTTTCTTTAAGATCATTTTGTGATTTCAGTGAACGGATTGACATGTTCAGAGCTGGTCCTTCCTTTTCATGAAGAAGGCAAACTTTCAGAAAAAAAATATATCTATCTATCTAATATATATATATATATATATATATATATATATATATATATATATATATATATATATATATATATATATATATATATATATATATATATATAATCTTTTCATTTACATGTATGTACTTAGATTCTTTTTCTCTACAAAAAGAAAAATTCAGACACATAAAATTATACTGCGGATAATGAAATAGAAGGGAAAAAAAACCTTTGAGCTGTCCTCCCTCAATGTCCATCTTGAAAAGGTTTTGCTGTATTTCTAAACTTTTTGTTTGTGTAGTAGTTAGGTCTCGATCTCCCTTAAGTTTTTTAATCAAGGTTGTTTTTCCTGCGCCAGCCCAACCAACCAACATTCCTTGTCCATGGAACACTTGTGTGCCACCTATCTTAAGATCTCTGACAAAATTTTCTCTATCATTTTTTCCCATAAGCAAAACTTCCTCCGGGATTTTCACTAAATGTAAAATACAATAAATATTGCTATAATATTAGTGCAAATGTATGATACAAATTGACTTTAATATATTATGTTTGTGACTGCATAATACCTTACTTTTACGTAGATGAAATTTTAAGCTTGTATGAAAATAAATCGAGACCGGAATAACGACATGGATTCTTACAGATATTTACCCATATATATATATATATATATATATATATATATATATATATATATATATATATATATATATATATATATATATATATATATATATATATATATATATTCATTAAAAAATTTTTCCTTGGTATAGGGATAAAATAAATTCCAAATTTAAATGAAAAACTCAAACTTTAATCTATAGCGCTTTCGCACCATGCGGGCTCATCAGTAGATTTGAAATAATAAACAAGTTACATTATGATGTCATTCTCGTGACGTTATGAAGGCAACCCATCATACATCATTCATTGTTAATCTAAATTGTCCTCCTGATTTAACTCCAAAAAAAAAGTTACGTGAAGCTGTCTCAAATCCTATTAGACAACGCCTACAGGTAACTATATTCCCCATATTTTTACTTTTTCTTATTAATGTCTTCCGTCTTCGCGGAAGACCTTATGGTGATTCTACTGTTTAATCTTATTAGTAAGGTCTTCCGACTTCCTTTGGAAGATCTTATTGTTTTCCGTCTGTATCTTATCATTAAGGTCTTCCGACTTTCTTCATAAGACCTTATTATCATTATTATTATTATTATTATTATCAGGAGAAAGAAGACTCTTCTATTGTTAAATCGTTTCTTTTTAACTTTTCTTATTATTCCACCTTTTCTTTAAAATTTTTGTGCAGAAGATATCTCCTTAAGGACAGACGATACGTTCCTCAATAATATATAAATTGTTCTAAGATTTTGTCACTGAAGTATTACAACTTTAACAAGCTTCCTCGCAAAAAATTGAGGTACCTTACCAGGCATTTGTGCAAGATACCAGAGGGTGATGTTTCCTATAAAATCCTTTTGAAAAAAACCTAATTTGCCAATATCACATTTTTTAGTGTTTCAGTTTTTTAAAGACAACCAGCAATAGTCCGGTTCCGAAATACCGATTTCGTAAAAATTTCCGTCAACAGTTTAGATGTTACTTTTGACGCAATATTTACTTCCGGGGAGTTCAATATTTTCTCGACGTACCATGTGTTTATCATGTGCAAAGCGTGGTTACTGGCTTGAAGATTAAAAAACAGGTGAGTTTTCATGTTTTCCTTTAAATATATGATTAATTTAAGCATTTCATACTTTGGTGTTAATCAATAGAAGCTACGTTTGTTTGAAACGACAGATATGGGGGGGGGGGGGGGAGGATAGCATGTCGAAAAAAAAAGTATTTTGGTTACATGTTTTTTTTAACGCAGTTTACAAAAGTGTTAATTCTTATCTATTTGATGTGTAGAAGTTATTGTTCTCAACTGATAAAATCAAATACATAAGTGATTAACTGATTAGTCAGTTAATAGTGAAAATTCATGAAACCAGAAAACTTGTAAATAAGTATTTTCCTGACCTTAAATTAGTCTACTTACTATGTAGATAACACTGTTTAAACCTTGAAAAATTGCTCAAAAACGTATTAGGTTGTAAATAAAGACATAGCCAAATGTAATATGTTTACAGTTTCCTGAATGAACTCTGTGTCAGAAGATATAGGGTTGAAAATGAAGAAAACTTTTTTCAGTGTTTTTTTTTTTTATTTTAGTCATGTCATCTGATTCAGACACAGAGAGTGAATACTGTGATGCAGAAAAACATCTGTCATTGGATGAATTGAAGTCATTAAGAGTGGCAGAACTGAAGGAATGGTTATCACAAAGAGGACTGAAGAGGTCTGGAAACAAAGAAGTTCTTATAAACAGAGTCTACAGGGCAATGAGTAATAGTATAGACTCAGATGAAGCTAGCGATACCAATGATTCTCCTTCAAAGAGTGATGAATCCATTGTTCCAGTGCAAACATTGTCCAAAGATTGGAAATCTATTGAAAGTGAAGACATTCCTGATATTTCAATCAAAGATATTGATGCCTACTTTTTATACCATAAAAATCCCACAGGAGGAACAACAAATTTTGAACGTCAAATGAAGAAGGCAAAGAAATTGAGTAATGAAGGATTTGTCAAGGACATTGAATTCAATGAAGTGAAAGAAGAATGTAAATACTGTTATATTAGATGCAATTGTATGCCTTCAATGAGACAAAATGTTATTGTTGGAAACTTTGGTAAAACTGCAAATTTTTATTCATTACACATTTGTACTATGAAAACATCTGGGCATATTCTTCAGGCAGAGTGTAACTGTAAAGCAGGAGCAGCAGGACTTTATGCGCATATAGGTACCTTATTGTACACATTAGTAAAAACTAAAAGGGCATGCACAAGTAATGAATGCAGATGGGATCGGCCCAGACCACTGCGGAGGAAACCTAGTCCAAAGCGAGTATGTGATATAAGCTTTTATAAAACTGATAAAGAGAACCCAGTGGAAAAAGTGAAGCCTTATCCTGGTGTTTACCAAGCCAAGATGATAGTGAAATTTTTTTAAACGAGATTTTAAATGGTTTGAAAGATCTATATCCCCAAAGTGTGATTTATCAAACTCTTACTGCAAAACCGGCAGATATAAGTTCTTTTCTAAATCTTTTCATTCCAAATTTCATGTACGCAGATCATGTGGACTTAAATTCCAAGAACTGTATAGATACTTTTTATAATTTTCTTTCAAATTTGATGGTTACTGATGAAGTAAGTCTTAATTTGGAAAAAGGAACAAGGGGTCAACATATCAACCAAAACTGGAGAGAGGCAAGAAGTTGTCTTGTTACAGCCTCGGTTATGGGCGAGGTTGTGAAACGTTTAACTACCAAACCTGACAATCTTGTTACAAAAATTCGCGGGTATGTAACCATTCCAGATACTGTGAAAAGCTTAAAATATGGTCGTAAATATGAACCTGTGGCTGTGGAACATTATGTTCAGAACCATATGGAAAAGTGCAAGAAAGTTCAGATAGAATCCAGGGGTCTGCTTGTTAATCCAAAATATCCATATATAGGTGCAAGTATTGATGGCCTTGTCATTTGTGAGGATTGTGGGACTGGGTTACTTGAAGTTAAATGTCCATTTGGCTCTTTAAAAAGTAAAAAACCATGGAGGCATATGGTACCTACAGAATGTGGGAAGGATGGAAATTTTTTTTGTACAGAAAGCAATGAAAATCTGTTTCTGAAAGAAAAACATAATTACATGTATCAAATACAAGGACAATTAGCTATTTATGAACTTGAATGGGTTGACTTTGTTGTATGGACAAAGAGAGGAATAAGTGTTCAGAGAATAACTTTTTCACCTGAAATTTGGAAATATATGTTACCAAAATTGAAAGCATTCTATCTTAGTGGAATTATACCAGAACTGTTTACCAGTAGAGTGAAACGTGGTATTTCTTTATACTGATTGCATGGACAAATTTTAATGTTTATATTTGGGCAATTTGAAACTTATTTTATGCTGAAAACCAGGCCTGAAATTGGATATATACTGTATTAAATAAAAAAAACAAAATTTTGTTATCTTTATTACCCTTATTCTAAACTTGTACAGAACACAGCTCTCTATATATTTAGTAAACAACAAAGGGTGGATCACAAAGCTAATGGTGATGTCGAATAACATTTATATTTTGGACAGTTCAACTTTAATTTCTTTAGCTCAATATATACATGTATATACATTAGTAAGATTTTATATAAGTTCATGATGTTTAACTAATACATGTAATCCTGAAGCCTCATATTGAATATCCCTAAATAAAAACTATTCACAACTACTGTATATAATGTTGTGTCGTAAGCAAAGCTATTCTGTACAAGTATTAAACAGCAACTGCATAAATTTATTTTTTACTGTAGAAGAGGTGGTAACAAGTTGGTTAATGACACACATATAACAATTAATTGTTCCGACAGATGTGCTTCCGAGAGAGGTAATACAGAATTCAGAATTTGAAAATTCTTAATTTGCTCCATTTTCATCTCTACTACTATTCTAGCTGAGGCAATATGTGCAGTTTTAAAAAACTCTGATGAAGACATTTGACTTTTAGTTGACACCCGAGGAGGAACATTCAAACCAATATCTGCAGGCAGTAAATCTTCTATGGTAAAACCCTTGTCTGCCATAATAACATCACCTGGGGACAATTTAGGTATTAAGTCATCATTTTGAACTATGTGCCTATCAGATGCATTCCCTCCCCATAACCTAGATACAAATGATACCATCCCATTTGGTGTTACCCCTATAAGTATTTTGAATGTATTGTGATGCTTATACTCGGACCAAGTTAACCACTGAGCTACAAGAGATGATGGTCTTTCCACAAAAAATTCAGTGCAATCGACTACTAGACGAGTATCTGAGTGATCGTTAAAGTGTCTCGGTAAATTAGCAAGTATCTGTTCCCATGCAATTAAACCTCTAGTATGATCATATATAAAGTTCACCCAAGTATTGAATATTCTTGATACACTAGTTTTTGAAATTCTAAATATATCAGCTAAATGTTCTTGATTCAGTCCGAGTCGGAGTCTCATGCATGTTAGTAGGAATTCATCTATGGGTCGTAGAAATCTTTTTTCCCTGGTTTCTGATGGCCGTCTTGATGATATTGCTTGTCACCCATTGAACGTCTTTCACCTTCCCAGTAGTGTAATTTTTCTGCACCATGTTTTAGAAGGGTTAAAAAGAACAACCATAAAACTTGGAATGTAGGGAAGCCTGTATAAAAGCGAACTTTTTCATCACTGTTCCTGATGTCTTCATAAACCATTCGAGGCAAATCACACTGAACAGCAGCATCATTGGTTGAGCAGAAAGAGTGACCTGCTTGTACTCCCACATCAAATGTGATGTTGTAGGGACTTGTACTGGTACTTTTATGTACTGTGTTT